CTCTGCCTCCTGAGTGCTGGGATTAAAGGCCTGTGCCACCACGCCCAGCTCATGTCAATATTTTAAAAAAAGCTTTAAGACCTTCATTTTCCCTCCACTTGAAGGAGGCTCCACTTGGTAAGAGACACAGAAAATATTTGAAATAAAGCACTTGTCTGAGGTAACTTACCTCCTCTATGGTTCCAGAGAATCATGGATTTCTGGTTTTTTGAGCACAGCAGAGATCTGAGGAACCAGTCGAAGAGCCCGGCTAGCCTTCTGAAGGTCTTAAGTCACTTCTTGTGGCCATGTCTGGGACTAAGTGTCGCAGAATGACTAGCCACACAGCATGGTTAGAGTGTTGTGACATAGAGCATCTCAAAGCTAACATGCTCTAAATGTAGTGTGTAGGCATTTATGTTCAGGCTATTGAACATTCCAGAGCAAAACGATGTCACTCACGTGACATTTTAGCTGTGACCTTCCTCTCAGCCAATGTATCTGGAGACCACCTATTAGCCCTAAATCCCCTTTTAACATTCCTTTTGACTTGTCTTTTAGACCTTGACACTCATAATTAGAAACTGTATTAAGAGATGTTTCTAAAATGGTTTAAGCTGTCTTAAGACTGGTCTTTTTTTATTTTTGGTCTTTAAGACAGGTCTGCCTGTAGCCCTACAGCTACCTGGATTCTATATGAAGACCAGGCTGACCCCAAACTCACAAGAGATCCACCTGCCTCTGACTTCATCAAACACAGTCGTTTTTGAGGAGTGGAAAGATGTATATCCTTAACTCAGCACCCAACAGATTCGTCCATGGCCATCTATTCAGAGGATTTAGGGCTGACTGATAATCTCCTAACTCCACAGCCTTGAGATCATCTGTTCTGTTTATTTTCTGCTGGAAAAAAGGTGATGCCCATTTTATTTTTTCTTTCTTTTTTGAGACAGGGTCTCATTATTGACTCTTGTTTGAACAGTCTCACTACTGTACCTAATCTGGCCTTAAACTTGTGATTTTCCTGCCATTGACTCCCGACTGCTGGGATTGCCGGTATACTACCATGACTGGCTTTAATTTTTTCTTGATTTATTTAATTTATGTGTATGAGTGTTTTGCTTGCATGTAAGTGCACACATGCATGCAATGCCCTTCCAGGCCAGAAGAGGGCCATTGGATCCCCTGGTACTGGACTTAAGGATGGTTGCTAGCTGCCACAGGGATGCTGGGAATTAAATCTGAGTCCTCTCCAAGAACAATCAGTGCTCTTAACTGCTGGGCTATATATCCAGCCCTAAAACAATATTGTTTTGAGACAGTGTCTCCCTGTAGCACTAGCTGGCCTGGAATTCACTATGTAGACCAGGCTGGTCTTGAGATCTGCTTGCTTCTACCTCCAGAATGCTAGGTTAAAGCTGTATGCCACCACACCTGGCTCCATTCATTTTTTTACATTGATGTATTTTGTGTGTGTAGGCAAGTGGGTGTGTGCATGTGTCAAGGTACTCATGTGGAGGTCAGAGGACAACTTCTGAGAGTCAGTTCTCTCCTTCCACTATGTTGGTCTAGGGGATGGAACTCAGGTCAGAGTTGGTGGCAAGTGCCCCTAACCAGTGAGAAAACCTGCCAGGTCTGTCTGTATTTTGAGACAGGGTCTTACTTGTGTTACTTAGTCTAGTCTTAAATGTGTGGACTCAAGTGATCTGCCTAACTTCCTTGGGTACTGCACTGTGTACTACCATGCCTGGCTTCAGTTAAAAAAAGGGGGGCAGGCATTAAATACTTTGGCCCATGTACTCTGAGATATGTAACTCTTTCACCTTTGCACGTTTCCATACTGTGTACATGTCACACTGAAAATTCCCTTAAGTTCTGTGTAAATGTCCTTTAACAGTCTGACAAAACAGAAACCCAAACCAATAAAGATCTTGATGGATAAAATAATATCTTGCCAAGTTCACTCCTTTAGTCTAGAACTCTGTGTAGGCTTTCCAGGAAAATATTCCCTTTCAATTTCGTAGAGCATACATTATGAAACTTTTATTACACTTGGAGTTACTGGGCTTCTCAGAGGCACAAAACTGTCCCTACATCCAGTATTCCGAGAAGAATTTACTATCACCACCCAAGTAGTGACAACGCAGATAGATATAGAGCCCTTAGTACCTCAGTTTAAAACAAACAAAAAAAACCCTCATTTTATTTCTCAGACTGGTTACAGAGGAACACACAAGCTTCTTACATTAAAATTGAGAAATTTATTTTTTTCCATGAAATAGTAAGCAGAATTAAAGTACAGAAATATATAGCTTAAAACAACTGAAATGATCCTAGAATGTGAATGACAATATATTTATGGCCAAAGGAAAAATGAGTATTTTAAAATAATTAATTTGCTTTAAATTTTTTTGTCAATAATTCACCTGAAATTAAACATACAAGAAAACTGGGGTTTGGGCACCTTGTAAAACAAAATAATGCCACTTCATCGTTCTCAAAGAAACTGATTCTGGTAAAACAGTGCTTGGTTCTGCTCCCCACTCACAAAAGCCACCAGGGCTATTCCACCATTTACAAATGTGGCAACTACCAGTCCGTGCTGATTGTTGAGGATGCCAGTTTTGGTTGCACTTAAAAAATACTTCCATTAGGCACCAAACAACATGACCTCTCCGGCCTCACATGGAGAGTGAGGGAGCAGCATCCTGATGCATCGGTTGGTCATGGCTTTCTTCTAGTGCTCACGGAGGTCAAACTGCCTCATCTATTTATAAATGTTAAAAGGCAAAATTACATCTGAACAGCAGCCAAAAATTTATATATATTTTTATGTATTTACAATACTGTACATATGTACATGACCACATGAAATACTGAACTGTGGAAATAAGAGACCATCTCTAAAGGCATTCATTTAGTGCCCCAGCATTCTTGTGCAAACTGAAACTTCTCCAACTTAGAAAATTAAAGACAGTCCACATTTCGTAGGCCACCATCCATTGTTAAAGACCCAAACCTAAAACACACAGAGGAAAAAAAAAATTCTTAGCAGATTCGTTCATTCAGTCTCCAAGAATTTTTTCTCTATAACCTGGTTGAACCCAGAGCCTCATGCATGCTAGGCAAGCACTCTTACCACTGAGCTATATCCCAGCTCCTGGCAACACTCCAGAGTAATACACAGATTTCAGAGGCAGGATTTAAAAATTTATTACTACTATCTCTGTGTGGGTGGTGTGTATCTGGAGGTCAGAGGACAACTCTGTGGATCAAGTCTCCCCTTTCCACCTTTATGGGGTTTTGGGAATTGAACTCAGGTTGACAGGCTTGTACAGCAAGAGTCTTTATCTACTGAGCCATCATGCTGCCCAGGAATAAATTGATTGATTGATTGATTTAGGTTTTTTGAGAAAGGGCTTCACTCTGCAGCCCTGGCTATCCTGGAACTTACTATGTAGACCAGGCTGGCCTTGAGCTCACTTAGATCTCCTTGCCCCTACCTGGAATAACCACCTCGCCTGACCAGGAATAGTGATTTTCAAAGAACTGAAGCAACTGTGATTTGCTCTATTTCTTACTGAGAGTGTGACATTATCATACACAAATGAAAAGATACAATTCAGTGGTTTGGGAAAATAGAAAAATACACTTATTTAGTGTGTGTGTGTGCGTGTGTGCGCATATGAATAAGGAGGGGCATGTGTGCTATGTATGGAGGTCAGAGGGAAACTTGCTTTTTACCATATGGATCCCAGGAACTGAACTTGGGTTGTCAGGCTTGGCAGCAAGTGACTTACATTCTGAACCATCTCCCTGGCCCAGGAAAACTTTTAAAGAGAAAATGGGAAGTGATATCATTTTAAAAGGTTAGTAAGAACTGGATTTCTTTTTAGTAAGGAGGGATTCATTTTTTAAAAAAATTGTATATATTTTTTAACTTTTAAACTCTTTAAATTTATTTACGTGTGTATATGCATGTGGGGGTGGGGTGAGCATGCCACAGTGCACATGTGGAGTTAGTTCTCTCCTCCCACCTTTACATGGGTTTCAGGGATCAAATTTAGGTCATCTGGCTTGCAGAACAAGTGCCTTTGTCTGCTGTGCCATCTCGCCAGCCCAGCAACTTTTCTCTTTTCCAGAGAAGATATTACTATGCAGCCAGGCAGGCCCAGCAGTTGAACTCCTGCCTCAGCTGAGGAGTCAAATATGGAGTTGAGAGTGCAGCATATTCAAAGGACAGTGAAGATGCAGCCTTGCTAGAAGAGAATGTTATTTTGCGAAGTAAAGGGAAATAAAAGTTGGGTGCATAGCTAGGACGAGGCCAATAGATTCTTTGAACAGAAGTAGGAATTTCGACTGCACTTTCTAGCTAATGGGTTTAGAAATTTTTGAGCCAATGATGGGGCATGAATGTATCACTACCACAGAAGACTGTTTCGGCTGTAAAGACATGGAAGACTGAAGTCCTTGGTTAAAGACACAAGTTAGCAGGGTACTACCACAGTGTCACTAAGGAAAAAGGAGTCTTAGTGACAATTATGAGAATATGGAAGCCTCATGAAGATTACAAAATTGTTGGGAGGCAGTAAACAAGAAAGAGTAAGTGCATAAAATAATTTATGTTTAAGAAGTAGGTGGGGCTGGAAAGATGGCTCAGTGGTTAAGAGCACTGGCTGCTCTTGCAGAGAACCCAGGTTTGAGTCCCAGCACCTACATAGTGGCTAACAATCATCCGTAACTCCAGTTTCAGGGGATCCAATACCCTTTTTGACCTTTGCTGGCACTGTACACACAGGTGCACTTACATATGTGCAGGCAATATACTCAGACACACACACAAAAGAAGTAGGAGAAGGTGGTCCCACTTAAGAGCCTGAGGAAATTAGAGGGCAGTTGACTTGGGAAGGATGATTGCAGATACTGATCCAAAATCAAACCTTTTGAGGGTTGACAAGTGGCCACAAGATGACAATCCTACACCCAACCTTTTGTGACAAGTTGAAGTTACAATGCAGGCACACTAAAAACACTGTACAAAATTATCCTCAGCCCATGTGTGTAAGGTACGTAGGAAGCATAGGTCACCCCTTCATGGGTCCCATCTCCATGTTGTTATTTATATGCATATCCCAAAATGTGAAATACCTGCCCCCAAATCAGAAGCCTGAAAGAATCTGGTCCCAAACATTTTGAAGAAGGGTTACTCAATTTATACTAATTCTGTGTCCTTAAGTAGTCACTTAATATTTGTGTTAAGACCTGTGATGTAGGGCTGACAAGATGGCAAAGGCCTATTGAACCTGCCTATTTAGGAATGCAACATTAACACTTAACTTTTAAAGAAAGCAGCAGCAATACCTAGCAAAATTTAAATGTGTGTAAGAGTGTTCACTGAAACTTGGTAATTGTGAAAAACCAGAAACTCCTTAACCAGACATGAGAGGCTGGGTTCTTGTTCTAGCTCATTCCCGGGGTGTGAATTTAACACCTGGAGAATACAGGTGGTCCCCTGCTTCACCTGTACAGGCTGTAAAACATGAGAAGTGACAGCACAGTGCCACAAGGTCCTGCAAGGGCAACAACACTTTGTACCAGAGGTGCGTCATTAGTTGTTGGGGTGAAAATGCCCCTAAACGAAAGCTTCTTACATTGTAGATCTTGGGGGTGGGGTGGGGTGCTGTCAAAAAAAAAAAACTTGCCAATAGGAAAAGATTTCTAAACCTATAACTACAAAAAATTAATCCAGTCTCAGCACTCAGGAGGCAGAGGCAGGCAGATCTCTGTGAGTTCAAGGCCAGCCTGGTCTACATAGTGAGTTCCAGGTCAGCTGGGGTACAGGGAGACCCTGTCTCAAAAAGACCAAAAAAAAAAAAAAAAAAAAAAACACCAAATCTAAATGAACCGAGGTGTCTGTGGTACATGGTGCTGCATGGTGTGACTTCATTTGCTTCTGAGCATACAACATGTAAATGCCACATGCCAGAAGCACCTTGGCCAGATCTGAACCTTGTCTATTATGAGCTACACTATTTTTATTGAAAACACAATTTATAGCTCTTAGAAAAACATAAAGGTTTAATTATGGAAAATGAAGCCTTAACATTTTCCTAGTGTATCCTCAGCATGTATCAAATTGGTACACCTTTGGATTGTACTGTGTTAGAAAAATAAGCACATTCATTTCATTAGCACAGAAATTTGCCTTAATCTTATTTTTTTTGCTTTTATCCTTACTAGTACTATACACTCCAGTAAATAGTTTTACTGATTCTGTACTTTTTCAGCTCTTTTGGTTTTACTAGGATTCTGTGATAAACAGACACCCAGAGCTTCAGAAACTGATATATACACAGCAACTCTGAATTCCAAAATAGATATTAGGGAAAAGCTAAGTGAAAAAGATTTTAGTTTTCACAGACTAAGTGATTCTATTAACAAGTCATCATGAGTTCAGCTTCATGCTGAGAGAAAAGCGTATGGGCTGAGACCCCTGTCAATGCTGCACCTTCTGAACAGAGAAACAGGGACAAGCTGAGTTGTGTGTGGACACGCAGCAGACAGCACAAGCAGCCAGTGGACTTGTGTGTTACTCACCTTTCTAAAATGTGATTGTTTTCAGCGAGCTCTTTAACCACTCCTTCCATCTCCTCCTTTAATTTCTTCATACTACACATACAAAACAAAGATAAGCATCTCTGCTCAAAAATATGCAAATATTTTATAGCTTCATTTACATGTTTTAGTGTTCTAGATCTAACCAGTCATAAGATCAAACATCGAATTCACAATAAACATCAAGAGTATCAAAATAGAAGAGCAGGATTACGAATTGAAATAAAAACTAGAAGTGTAACTTCCAAGTGAGCTGCTTACCCCAGAGTCATTTCCACTAATGTGTTGGAACTGGGGTAAATGGGGGTCATGGTATGTTTGACTCCAGTGGAGGCTGCAAACATTTTCTGAGGCAGAGTTTCTTGTAACTAAAACATAAAAAAACAAAACAAAACTTGTCATTGGACAAAAGTACTGACTGCAGATCACAGACCAATTTTGCAGTTTTTAGGAAGCTCTTTGCTGCTCCCCCTGTGGCCCGCCCCTCCTTGTCTGCCCATGCCCTACACTAGAGAATCTTGTGCATGCTAGGCAAGAGCTTAACCACTGAACTGGAGTTCCAGCCCAGGTTTAAATCTTATTTCAAAATTATGAAGACTGAAACCAATACTCTTTAAAAGAACTTTTCTTACAAATAATAAAAGAATAGTTTATCATGTTTTTAGTTGTCAAACATCCATGAACACAAAAAAATGGGTGATGGCCCAGTGAGATGGCGCAGCACCCTGGGATTGACATGGTGGAAGCAGAGAACTGACTCCCAGAACTTGTCCTCTGATCTCCACACATGCACTGTGGCATCTATGTACAAACTGGATGCATACACACACACACACACACACACACGCACACACACTCACCAGATACATGTAAATAAAAATTTTTGTTAAAAATGGGTAGTAGAACTGGATGCAGGCATATGAAATCTCCTAGCTCTCCCTTCTCAATCATTATTAGAATTATATTTTAATATTTTCTCATGACAGAAAAGCTCCTTTCTAGAGATTTTGATAGCTATACCTCATTAGTATAGTCTTGATACTTTGACACTTCCTCTTCAATATCAAAACACTGGTTAGTTAGAGACAATAACTGTTTCCTAAGATGAAGCATCTTTCTGAAAACCAAAAAGAGTCTATTAATAAGCAACCTACTGGAAAATTCTCACTTAGATCACATGATATACACTATACTGTGTAGCCAACCACTGATCACAACTAAACAAATTTACTTACCTCATCCATTCTTCTGACTTATGCAGAAATGCTTCATACTTTTTAACACATTCATCTGTAAAATGGGTCATTGCTTTTGTTGCATGATAATACAGTTTCTGTCTGCAAGTTAGAAAACAACCAAAAAGGCTTCATGTAACCTCACTGTTTCTACCCCCAGTAATACAAAAGTCAGGATTTCTATGATTATTGTGGTTTTAGAGTAGAGTAGAAAGCATACATTTCTAAAGCAGATATTCTAACAGCAAGGGGAAAAAAAGTTCAAAATAGAAAATGCTAAAAAATATTGACAGACTAGAGCTAAAGTTGAGAAGGTGGGTATGCCAGCCTTGCGTGCTTCTTCGCTCTGCCTTCTGTAGGCCCAGCATGTGAGTCCCAAGACACCTGAGTGAGAACAGGGAACTTTCTCCCTGTCCTTTTCCTGTCTTGGTAATCTTTCAATGGGGACCAGATGAGCGGACTTGTGTACCCATAGTAACAATCCCCCAGGCAAGATGAAAGTATACTTTTATTGCAAGTGGTTCCAACTCTAAGAAGCATTATTAGCTGGGTGTGGTGCACATGCATTTAATCCCAGTACTTGAGAGGTAGAGGCAGGTAGAGGCCAGCCTGGTCTACATAGTGAATTCTAGCCTAGCTGGAGCTATAGGGAGACCCTGTCTCAAAAAACAAAAACTAAACAACAACAAAGAATTATATTAATAAAGACAACCAAAGGCAGCAGCAAAAACAACCAATTCTAAACACAATCTGGATACTTACTTATCAAATTTATGAATCTGTTCTTCATTGTAAGCTAGTCCTGGAAATAAGAAAACATACTTTTGTCAATGTAGAATTGTAACATCACACACCACATTTTTCTCTCTTAAGACCACTGCTTCAAAAGGCTAAGAGTTTGAAGCAGGTAGCAAAGATTTGGGGACATGGGCTACACTTGGCCCATAGATGCTAGATGCTTTTATTTGGTCTGTAAGTAGATTAAAAAAAATTAAGTACTGCGGGGTGTGATGGCGCACACCTTTAATCCCAGCACTTGGGAGGCAGACGTAGGTGGATCTCTGTGAGTTCCAGGCCCGCTGGGGCTACAGGGAAAACCTATCTCAAAAAGACACCCCCCCCACAAAACAGAAAAAAAAAATTAACTATCAACATTTCAGAGAGGATA